ACACCACTGGACAGGTTTGCTAGACAGAAACTTAACAGAGAAATAAGAGAACTAACAGATGTTATGACTCAAATGGACTTTACAGACATCTATAGAACATTTCACTCAAACAAAAAAGAATAATCCTTCTTCTCAGCACCCCATGGAACCTTCTCTAAAATCAACCATATACTTGGCAACAAAAGAAACCTCAACAGATACAAAAAAAAAAAAAAGAATAACCCCCTGTATCCTATAAGATCACCATTCAACAACAACACTAAATACAGAATGCCTACAAACTTATAGAAATTGAACAATGCTCAACTGAATCATCACTGAGCCAAGCAAAAAAATAAAAGGAATTAACGACTTCCTAGACTTCAACAAAAATGAAAGCACAACATACCCAAACACATGGGACACTATTAAAGCAGTGTTAAGTGGAAAGTTCGTAGCACTAAGTGCCTACATAAAGAACATGGAGCCAGGTGGGTGGTGGTGCATGTCTTTAATCCCAGTACTCGGGAGGCAGAGTCAGGTGGGTCTCTGTGAGTTCGAGAGCAGCCTGCTCTACAAGAGCTAGTTCCAGGACAGCTTCCAAAGCCAGAGAAACCCTGTCTCGAAAAACCAAAAAAAAAAAAAAAAAAAAAAAAAAAAAAAAAAAAAAAGAACAAACATGGAGAAGTCTCACACTAGTGTCTTAACGGTACACCTGAAAGCTCTAGAAGAAAAAGCAGCTAACTCACCCAGGAAGAGTAGACAGCAGGAAATAATCAAACTGACGGCTAAAATCAATAAAAATAGAAACAAAGAGAACAATACAAAGAATCAATGAAACAAAGAGTTGGTTCTTTCAGAAAATCGACAAGATAAATTCTTATCTAAACTAACCAGAAGGCAGAGAGAGAATATCCAAACTAACAAAATCAGAAATGAAAAGGGGGGCATAACAACAGATACTGAGGAAACCCAGAGAATCATTTGCCCAGACTTCAAAAACCTGTACTTCACAAAATTGGAAAATTTAAAAGAAATGAACAATTTTCTGGATAGGTAACATATACCAAAATTAAATCAAAACCAGGTAAACAAATTAAATAGACCTATAACCCCTAAGGAAATAGAAGCAGTCATAAAAAGTCTCCCAACCAAAGAAAGCTCAGGGCCAGATGGTTTCAGTGCAGATTTCTACCAGAATTTTTAAGAAGAGCTAATAACAACACTCCTCAGGTTGTTCCACACAATAGAAACATAAAGAATATTGCCAAACTCTTTTAATGAGGATACAGTTACCCTGATACCCAAACCACACAAAGCCTCAACTAAGAAGACAATTACAGACCAATCTCCCTCATGATCCTTGATGCTAAAATACTCAATAAAATACTGGCAAATTGAATCTAAGAACACATCAAACAAATTATCCACTACGATTAAGTAGGCTTCATTCCAGAGGCACAGGGATGGCTCAACATAAGAAAATCTATTAATGTAATCCACCATAAAAATAAATTAAAATAAAAAAAACACATGATCCATCTCAGTAGATGCTGAAAAAGACTTGGACAAAACAAACATCCCAACATGTCGAGAACTCAAAGCAATTCCACTAAAATCAGGAACAAGGCTAGGCTGTTCATTTCCTCCATTTCTATTTAACATAGCACTCAAAGTCCTAGTTAGAACAATCAGACAACACAAAGATACAAACACAAGGATACAACACAAGGGGATACAAATTAGAAAGGAAGAAATCAAACTTTCACTATTGGCATATGATATGATAGTATACATAAGTGACCCTCCCAAAATTCTACCATGGAACTCCTATAGTGATAAGCACATTTACTAATATGGCAGGATACAGGACTAACTCAAAAAACATCAGTAGCCCCACGATAAATAATAATGTTTATATACAATTAATATATAATGTTTATATATTATAGATAATACATTTAAATATAAATAAAATAAAAAGTTAAATGAGCCAAGAAAGAAATCAGAGCAACATCACTCTTTATCATAGTCACGAATAACAAAAAATACCTTGAGGTAACTCTAACTGAACAAGTGAAAGACTTGTACGACAAGAACTTGCAGTCTTTGAAAAAAAACTGAAGATGATATCAGAAAATGGAAAGATCTTCCATGGTCTTTTGTCAGCACATGCAGGCATTGCAGTAAGCAAAGGAGGCGATACAGGGAAAAATCAGACATATATCGTTTCATCAAGGAACCTGGAGTCTAATGAAATTTTATTGCAAGTGGCTATAACTGGGGAATATAAACTGTTAGTGGTATCAGATAAAGTAAAATGAAGATCATTTCTGCTTGGCAAGGCCAGGCAAGACTTGAAGGAATGAGTGTCATAAAAGCTAAGCTGTAATGGATTTGGGGATAAGATTCCACACAGATCATAGAGAGAAAGTTAAAAAGCCATGGGCCAAGCCCTAGTAACTGCTTAGTCAAAGGAAGACTGTGTGAAGACAACAGAGTATCAGAAAGTAGGTTTCAGACAGAATGTATAGGGTCTACTTGAAGTTTTACAGCATAAGGCATGCTTCCATAAGGCTAAAGTAGAGGGAAGAAACAAGAAACATGCACACATACACTTGTTTAGGGGGTACACGGGGTGCATGCTTCAATGAGTATGAGTGGCAGCATCATGACTGAAAGGAAGGACGCTACTTAAAGCCAGGTCTAGAGAAGTTATGGCTGAAGCCAAAGGAGATGCAGAAGCCAAAAGCCAGGCAAGTGGGAATTTACTGGTGTCCATAACAGTAATGAATCTACTATAAGAGCCAGAAAGAGATGGTGCATGCAAGTGCTGGCCCAAAGGTAGCTGAGACCTAGGAAAGCAGGCAGAACTGCATCCATATTGAGGGAGCATTTGTACAGAGCTGGCAGGTAAAGTTGAAGGACTGAATGAGAACAATGATCTTAGAAAACAATCTGAAGTTAGAGAGGTACTGACACACATGGATAGGAAGTAGAAAATGAGTCAGACAAAGGGAGACAGAGAGCTAGCAGGGAACTGTGGTACAACTATACACATGGGGCAACATGTTGATTAAGGAGAACCACAGTGTGATCTAGTGGATCATATAAAGCTGAGGTGCAGAATTCATAGATGTTCAGCAGTGCAATAAACTGTAGCTTGAAACAAACCTTCCCATCTCATGTAGATTGTGCTTGTGGTGTTTTATCACAGCAACTGAAAGCAAACTGGGGCATCTTTTCTTTCTCTGTACTGCTTCAGTCATCCCTATCACATCCTCCTTTGTTTTATATCTACTCTATAAAACAACACTGCTCTTTACTCAGGAAATTGGCTCAGGAAATGCTGATATAAAAGTAAAATTCAAAAACAGGGTACCAGAACTAGAAAGGTACCAGTGACAATTCTATAAACCTCTGCTTTATAGAAGTTTAAAATATAATTAATGGCCATAGTGCCTTACTTTTATTCTTTATAAAACACAAGCCAGTAGTATACATCCAAGCATAGCCAGTAGTATATTTCCAAGCATAGCCAGTAGTAGACATCCAAGCATAGCCAGCAGTATACTTCCAAGCACAAACAGCAGTATACATCCAAGCACAGCCAGTAGTATACATCCAAACATATGGATGAGGGATACATAAGAGAGAAAGTAATTAGAACCTGAGCTTTCTCAGCTACAGCATTAAGTGTGAGCTGAAGGGCAATCTAGTCTACGGTTAGTGTTGCAGAATACTTCTGGGTCCTCCTGAATTACCTGAGACACCATCACTGACATTAACATGGTCTACTGGGAAGGACACTCATACTCAGATGTGTCTCTGCAATGTGGGTTCTTAAATAGGTTGCCTGGTCCCCCTGGAGGTCAGAAGATGGTGTAGGCTCTCCTGGAACTGGAGCTGTGGCTGTGAACTACCATGTGGGTTCTGGGAACTGAACTCTATTCTCTGTAGGAGCAGCAAGTGCTCTTAATCATGGTTGTTGAGAATATTACAAGAACTCTTCGAAATGATACATTGCTGTTAAGTGAGCTTTATTATGTATAAACACAGAAAGTGGTTATACTTGCAAACACTGAATTCCCAAGTGGACTCACTTACAACAGTAATATATGTCCTGGTAGTTAGTGGAATAATTCAAGTGGTATTGACTTTAAAATCTCACTGTGTGTGGTGAGAGGGGACTGGGAGAAGGTGCATGGGCACCAGCCTGTCACAGCACATGTGGGGCTCAGAGGACAACTTGCAGAAGTTGGTTCTTTCTCGCCAGGTAGGCCACCTCAACAGTAAACCTAATATTTACTAAAAATTTTAAACTGTGTACTAGTAAAAATTTAACAAGGAAGTATTATTTGCTTAATAAAGTTAAGTAGCATTTATCTAAACAGTCTTTCCTAAAGCATATACCCTGAAATACTACATTTTACTATTGAGCAGCTTCAGGATTTTTGTTTTTCTTTTGGAGATTGTTAATAATATGCAATAGCTTTAGAGATTGTTAATAATATGTAATGTTCTAAACTCGCAGTTTAAAACAAATGGCTGGCTTCACTTATTTATCAAGATTATCTACCCTTAGAACCTTTACCCTCTTTTCATTAGTATGGATTCACATCACAGTAGACTAGTGTCAGAAGAAACAAGATTGGCCTCCCATACCTTTGATGTTAGCAAGAAGAGAATTCAAATAAATAGATGGTACACACACCATGTACTTTAGGTTTTGGTATAAACACAATTTTGCCAACAGGTTTTCTTTTAGGATGCCATTTCCAAAGATTTATTGTAAGCTGACTAATTGATTATATTCAGAATGCTGACTAATAAACACTACTACCACCAACAGTAACAAAGTTCTTAGGGTTTACTCAGGATTCATATAAAACAGATAAGACAACTGACATAAAATAAGAACTGGTTATGTACACATAGCTCTCTAAAATCACCTCCAAGGATAAAGAAAGGCAGTAAGAAAAAAACCACATTATTAAAAAGCTGATATCTAGCATACTCACACTGCCCATTCAAGCTTCTCATTCTTGATTGAGTTGTACAGAGCCTGTAAACAGAGGAAATAAGATCAAATTAGTCTTTTTATTCTGTTTCATATGCTGAATTCAGTAAAGGAGCAAAGTCAAAAGCTTCAGTAAATTTTGAGCAACTTCTCCATACTGATCCTTCCTGATCCCTCTGTAGACGCTAAAGAATTCACAGGGGAGGCAAATGAACATTTTTATGAAACAAAGAAACATGCATGAAGTAAAAACTTTCAGAAGCAATACACAGGACTGTACATTGTGTCTTGGTACAATAGCATTGGGCTATGATTGAACTCAAGCAGGGCAATCTATTTCATTCATTTAACACATGGTCTGACAACTTCACTAACATGGACTTTAAGGGTAGTCATACTCTTCAGTAAAGGAAGAAATGTGATTGCTCTTATGCTACCTAAAGAGACACATGGAAGAGGACTGTAAGCCAGATATGGGAATGCACCATCTTTTAAGAGTTTCTACACCAGTGACTCACGTGTGTTTTATTAATCTAAGGTCATAATTCTCCATACAGTTCAGTGAGTGCTACCTCAATATATATGTATAGCGACAAGGAAGCAGACAAAGCTTGCCAAGGGTTTGGTGAAACAGAGACACAATCCTATCAGCTAAGACAGCTATCTTGCCCTCCCAGAACCAGGATTCCATATAGAGCCCTCTACAGCATCTACCCAGGAAAATGCTTTAATTTAGAATAAGACAAAATAAAGAAAAGACAAATGTATCTCTAAGATGCAAAGCCATGGAAGAAAACAATACAGAAAAAAATAATAAAACTTATGATGCTAAGAATTTTTCCCCAATAAAGTCTCAGATCTGTTAAGAGCTTGAATGCTCAGCAGAGGCTATCTACTCTGAGACAAGGCAGAAGGGTCAGATGCCACTCAACCACTCTTCAGCTGAGGAAGGTAGGCTTCAGAGGTCTGAGTGTACACATGGCAGCAATGGGACTATACAACCATAGCAAATTCCCTTCTTACCAAAGCACTTCAAAATTTTGTAGAAATACATTGGAAAATACAGATTTTGTCAAAGTGACAAGAAAAGTAACCAATGCTGCTCTTTAATCAAAAAAACAAAACCAGCCAAACAACAACAACAAAAAAAAAACAAACCACAAGATCTCCAAATGTGAAGGTTTTAAAACCCTAATACAATGCCACAAATTGAAAATTCCACAGCATGAAACTTTGTTCTAAGCCAGGTGAGGTAGTACATACCGGCAAGCCTAACGGAAGGGAGGCTAAAGCAGGTAGATCATAAGTTTGAGATGAACCTGGACTAATAACAATTTCAGGGTCAACCTGAGTTATATAGTAAGATTTTATCTCAAAAATGGTAGAGAAAAATTATGAACAAAACTACCGTGAGTCCTGTGTAAGCTTGCCTTCAGACAGTGCATATAATGTTTACCCAGAAAAAAAAAAAGAATTTCCTACTCAGCTTTGGGTTCCTTCCCAAGATAATATGTAAGATATGCAAATATTGAGTATTTTATATGCAAATACTCCAAGACACAAAAAAATCTGAAACATCTTGGGACCCAAGCATTTCAAACAATGGATAACCAACCTATACTATCAACTTCCTTCTTTTATCGTCTCTCTGTGGCACATGAAGAGCGACACCAGGTAACTCTGCCAACCCATGCTAACATGCCATGTAAGAATTAAGATTCCCTTTGCTCTTTTGAGCAAATTGACAATGACCTTGCACTTCTCTACTTCCCATCTCTACCTCCTGTGTGCTGGGAAAAGAGGCATGTATCACCCCTCCCCCTTTAATGTGATATTCCAATTGACCCCGGGGCAGTATGCATGCTAGGCAGGCACCTGGTCAACTGAGCTATATCACATCTCTGACTCAAGAGTTCCTTTAGCTCAAATGTCAAACATGTAAACTGTAACTTTAAAGGCAAGGGTGAGCTATTAGCTCATGCAGCCTAACTATAAAAGGGTATAGACAGAACTAGCCTCAGAGACGAAGGCATTAAAACTCCTTTATCTTTTCTTCCTTCCCCCTCTTTCTACACAAAACATTTCCAATATTTATTTCTCTACTCCTTAGGAATGGTCCTCTGTGCTCCTCTGTGCAACCCACATTCATTGTTTCTAGTGGGGGAGGGAGAGAAGGGGGAAGATTTCTTTTAGTTCCAGCTGTAAACGGCCCAAGAAGACATTCTCATTGTGGGTTAGTTACCTACTCTCTGCTAGACAATGAGGTTCTAGAACCAGGCCTTTCATGAGGAGTATGGGCAGTACAGGTTTAGTGACTAGAATATAGCTCCTGGGCTCAGCAATATTCTGAACCTGTTTATGACACGTTCAGCACTACCAGAGAAAAAGTTAAGCAATACTACAAATTAATGTCGCTGGATAGTCACTACCTCTGCACGACTCCATTCACCATCGTCATGAACCTCCCACCATCTCCTCCAAGAGGCATTTGTCAAAGTTCCTATTGCCTTGGAGAGAATCCCCACAACGGAATTTCAGAGCCGAAAGGAGCAAATGCTACCTTACATAGGATGCGGAAGGTGAAATCCAACGTCCTGCAGATATTTCTCACACACTTAACTCTGAAACAGCGCTCCTCCTCTTATACTATTTGGTGCTGGGTTGAATGCAGGACCTTTCTAGCTATTATCACCCCCAGTTTTCTATTTACATTTACTATCAACTAATTACATTCTTTCTGCCCATCCTAAACTTCACTGTCCTGTTTGCTCCTGCGCTAAGCTAAGGGCCATAGGGAAAGGTGTAAAGCCCTGTGCTTCTTTTAGATAGATTCAATAATTCAGGGTCCTGGAAGATTAAATTCTTAAAAGACAAGCTTCACAGAATAGGCACTGTTGCTAGGACACACACTTCAAATTCCTTTGTCAGCAAGGACAAGCCTGTTAAAATGACCTGTACTCTCAGTCCACTTACAATCAAATGTATTGGCCATGTGAGTGGCTAAAACTGGAGGAGCAGGCTAGAGCTCAAACAAAACAAAACAAAACAAAACAAAACAAAGCAAAGCAAAGCAAAATAAAACAAAACAAACCCTGTACCTAAAGTTCATGCCATGTAAGTATGGGGGACCTCAGTTAATATCCTCAGCACCTACATTTAAAAAAAAAATGCCAAGTATGGCAGCATTTCTCTAATTCCAGTACTTTGAGAAAGTCCTGTTCTCTCTGGTCCAGCTGAATCAGTGAGTTCCAGATTCAGTAGATAAGATGGAGAATGCCTTCGGAAGGCACCTAGCATTGATCTTTAGTCTATTCTGTCTCTCTCCCTGTACCCCCAGACACACATAGTGCAGGTTGTTAACCTTTCACATAGCTAGAGATAAATTATCTAGGTTAGCCAAGACTTCAGGGTTTGTGGATTAACACTGTCCTGGCAGGCTGTCCACTGGTCCTTGGACTGACAGCTGGGGTAAACTGGAAAAAAAGTAGGATAGGGCCCACCCATATGGATACACACAGTGAGGCAATGCCTGCTGTAGAGGCTGAATAACACACCACCCAAAGATGGCTATGTCCTAATTCTTAAAACCTCTGAATATTTCCTTATATGGCAAAAAATTCTTTAGATCAAATTTAAAGAGTTTGTGATGGGGAAAACCTGTGGGTGGGCTCTAAATGTAATCACAAGTATCTTTACAAGAAGAAGGCTGAGGGCAATTTAAAGATGCAGAAGAGAAGGAAAAGAAAAAGGAACAAGGAGGGTGGAGCGATGCAGTCATTAGCCAGGATTCTCTGGCAACCCCCAGAAGCTGGAAACAGCTAGGAACAGATTCTCCTTTGACCTTTCAGAGCAAATGTAGCCCTATCTTCATATGAATCTCATAGTTCCAGTCTCCAAAACTGTGGGAGGACATATTTCTGCACCTTTAAAATACAATGTGTTAGTGGTCATCAGCCACAGAAAACCAATGTGCTAGGGTATACAAGAAAAGCAGGTAACTTATTAAAAACAATTTTCAGAAACATTTCCATGTCAAGCCCCTAGAGAAAGTATCTTTTACTTTGTGGGTATCATCTGAAAGTATGAGAGCATACACCAAAATTTGTCAAGTAACTTTTATAAATCAAGGGAATTTAAAATTCTGGACCTTAGCCCAGATCTCCAGAACTTCCCTGGAGGATTCTGCATGAATTATCAGCAAATATTTCAAATGCCACTCAGGCATGATGCTAAAAGCCACTGTTCTCTGAGCTTAAAAAGCTGGTCTCTAACCAAAATTCCTGCAGCTTATCCCAGGAACTATTGAGTGACACTTAACAGGACAGAAGGTTGTTCTTCTTATATGAAGATGATTAGTTAAGAATGAGAAAGCAGTCGGGCGGTGGTGTCGCATGCCTTTAATCCCAGCACTCTGGAGGCAGAAGCAGGTGGATCTCTGAGTTCAAGACCAGCCTGGCCTACAAGAGCTAATTCCAGGACAGTCTCCAAAGCCACAGAGAAACTCTGTCGAGAGAGAGAGAGAGAGAGAGAGAGAGAGAGAGAGAGAGAGAGAGAGAGACTTATTTTGAAAATGTTTAATAAAACTTAAATGACAGAAATATGGGAATTTGGTCTAAATTTACTTTTAAGTCTTTGTTCCTCACTTCTGATTGCTTCTCAAAGATGATAAAATGCCATTTTATTCAAAGCTTAGCACCTCACTGGCAGCCCACACAGGCTCCGCAATCTTTTTCCATTACCACATTGTATAATCAGAAGTCTCTCTCTGATTCTCCAGAAGCACATATTGTGGTGTTGATGGAACACATGTATTTTAGTTAAAGCATCTCTAAATTCCAATGATGGCTTTTCTTCTGTGGATCCTGAATACAAAAACCATGGAAGATGTTACACAGTTTCCATTTTTAGTGAAATTGATAATCATCACATTGGAATTTATACCACCAAAGTTATGCCACCATCACCAAGGCCAGGGCTCTGTTTCCCAAATGCAAGGTGGCTCATGCACCTTTTTAGAGTTAAGTTGATTTTAGTGTAGAATTAAA